TTCGATCCTAAGTTCGGATTATCTTCAGCATTTAGATAAAACAATATCAGCAAGCAAATTATCGCAGGTACAAACACTATCAGAAATATCGGTGTTTTATTCCGGTGTTCAACGAAACGATACTAATAGGAATAAGCACTCGCATACTGCGGCAACGGTAATCAAGACAATTGTCTTAGGATCGAAACGTACGAATAAACAATTCAATTTATCATTATCATTATATATGTTATGCGTATTAATAACCACGCCTGGCTCTTAATTAGCCCTGTATACCGCACTTCATAGTTAATCTATGTTTTAATAATATGTTAAAGGTTTTTATAAAATATTTATATAATATTTGAAAAAATGTATATACTCATAAATATTTATGAATCTTTATCATAAATATATTGTGTGCTGTCTGGGTGAAATATTGTTTGCAATGTGTTGGATTATGCGATTTTGTGAGCTGATCGGAAAACAATTACGACTCCTGATCTCTTGCTGATGACATAGAAAATCAAATTTATTTACGACATATATCGAAATAAATAAATATTTTTTCGTATGTTATTGTTATATTCTATTCTTCTATTCTAGTCTATTTTTGGCTTTTGTAAGATGATTCATGTCTACATTTATTGGTATTTATAATAAAAAAAGAATTTTTATTATAAAGTATTACACATATAAAGGCTAATAAGAGCAGAAGTAATATTACGGTTATAAAAACTAATTTATTACATTTAATAAATATGTACTGATATAAACAATAAAGTTTAAATTAATCTAAAATTATAAACTCGAAAGTTAAAACAAATGAGAAAACAAACGTTTCGATCCAATTTTTCGGATCTTCTTCAGCGCAGTACAAAAAGCAAAATTAAAATCACCAAAGTCTAAATGTTTTTAACGTATAAACGTCTAATAAACATATTTAAACGCAATTACATCAGTAAACGAAATAAAACGTCGTAAGATTAACATTAATATGACTCTCACTGAGCCATCACATTTACGTTACTGTGGGAAGCGATCCTCTCTAGTTTTCTGACTACGAGGTTAGCAGGTGTTAAAATATAAAATATTAATCGCATCCTATAAATTAAAATAATTTTCTCATTACACCTCACTAATTATAAAATCCAAAATCACGTGCGTTATAAAACAATAATCTAACACATTGTATAAAAAAAATGCTAATAAAAACTTACATATATTTATGATGTGACAATATTTTAATTGTAACAGAAACAAAAGTAACGCTAGTGTAATCCTCATGTCAGTAGAACGGCTCAGAGGAAACTGAAGCTCAGTTGGAAACGAAAAGTGACAAACAATTATAATCATTTTGTATTTGTTATTTAACCTTAGAGTTTAGGTAGTCTCTCTATAGCTTCGATATAAATATCAGATAGATTTTCAGTATCAGTCTGTAGATTGAGACTATTATTTTGTCTTTTTATGTATATCATTTTTGATACTGATCTTTTTCCGTAATATATTTCTTTATCTAAAATATTAATGTTCTCCCAATCAAATTCATGGTTAAAATTAACGCGGTAGTCCGTTATTACTGATTTAGTATTACTATTTCTAACTATGTGTTTCTTATGTTCAGAAATTCTTGTGGTCAGTCTTCTACTAGTCTGGCCCACGTAAGAAGCGTCACAGTTTGAACAATTAATTTTGTAAACAACGTTGGTATTATTCATTTTAGAAATAGTATCTTTATGTACTCGTATATATTTATTTAATTTATTAAAGCTAAAAAGGATAATTTAATATTCATGTTCCTAATAATATTTCTAAATTGTTCCGTCAAACCGGGTAAAAATGGTATAGTGAAAAAAACGTCTTTTTTCACTATTATTATTATTATTGTTACCGTTAATTGTGGTATTTTTTAATTTTTTGAATAATATTACTAGACGTTGGTTAATAGTATTAAAGATCAAGTTATAAGCGGATAACAGTTTTCTAAAAGTATGTTGACAACGGTAACGAGATTTTTATAATGAAATCGTGGATGTGACAATAAAATTGTTCTATCCACTAGACCGTATATAGTTCCCCGCTTTTGACAAAATGGATGCTGAGACAAGAAATGTAAATATCGCCCCGAGAATGTCGGCTTGTGATACCAATCAGTAATTATCTTGTTGTTTTCTAAAATTAATGTCAAATCTAAAAAGTTTATTTTATTATTATCGTCAGTTTCCAGAGTGAATTGGAGTCTATTATGATAAGAATTAAAAATCATAAGTGTGTGATCAATTAAAGTCAAAGGAACAGTCAATACAATGTCGTCAACATAACATATCTAAAGTAAATCAGGGGTGAATTTTAACAATCGTAATGATTTATTCTCAAGATCTTGTAAAACTAGATCTGCAATCACTGGTGAGAGAGGAGAACCCATGGGCGTTCCAAAGGTTTAGCGGTAGATAACGTTATTAAAAATAAAAAAGATAGAATTTAAAACTAAGCCTATTCCATTTAAAAATTCTGATTTTGATAAGTCACAATTCTTTGAAATAAATTCCCATCTAGAGGAAATACTTTCAAGAGCCAAATCAATAGGGACGTTAGTGAATAGCAAGACAACATCTAACGAGATTAATTTAAATTCATTATCAATGTGAATCTGTGACAATTTTTTTACTAGTTTAAAACCGTTGTCAACACGACCTTCAGGCACTGGGAGGCCTTTAACTATAATCTTGTGCAGGAAAGTCGCCAAGTTATACAGAGGAGTGTCAACCGATGACACTATTAATCTGAACGGGCAGTTTTCTTTATGGACTTTAGGCAAGCCATATGCCCTGGGGAAAGTTCCATCAATAAACAACAAAAGTCTGTATTCATTAGTTGAAATAAACTTAGAATTTTTCCAGCGAACTAACAAGTCATGAAGACTGTTTATCAATTTTCTAGTAGGGTCTTTTTTTATCAACGTATATGTATTATTATCTTTCAACAAGTCTTCAATATTTTGTGTATATTTATCTTTATCCAACGCTACCGTTATATTTCCGTTATATTATCCGCACGTGTAAGGATAAGATTTTTATTTTCTTTTAAGAAATTTTTTGTAATGTGATTTAAATGTGAAAGCGTATTATTTGCTTCATTCGTAAAATAAAAATAAGTCGAAATAGATTTTATCACATTACTTGTTCGATTTCTTATAATTGTACATTCTCTAACCGGTAATTTTCTAATATTATTTTCAATGTTCTTAACAAACTCAATTGTTAAATTAGTTCTGTTGTCAAAAGGTAAACTAAAATTACTCCCTAACTGTAAAAAACATTGGATATCATTGGGAATATTAATTGAAGACTTGTTGATAAACCATTTATCTTTCAACTGTTTTAAATCTTGACATGTATTATTGAAAGAAGCAGGATCTATTCTAACGTTCGTTATTTCATCCGAGGTGTTCCGCGTTACTTTGTTATTATTAAAAGAAACATAATTAGGACATGATTGTATTGATAGCTTATGTTTTGAATCTGAATTATTATATTAATAAGTATAGTGTATCGGTTTTATGTCACGAATGTTTAGTTTTTTCTGTAGTAAAAAATTAAATTTTTTATTGTATCTTTCATTTTCTTTTAAAAAATGAGTATATAGCGGACCACACAGCGTAGTCAGAAAACTAGAGAGGATCGCTTCCCACGTAAATGTGATGGCTCAGTGAGAGTCATATTAATGTTAATCTTACGACGTTTTATTTCGTTTACTGATGTAATTGCGTTTAAATATGTTTATTAGACGTTTATACGTTAAAAACATTTAGACTTTGGTGATTTTAATTTTGCTTTTTGTACTGCGCTGAAGAAGATCCGAAAAATTGGATCGAAACGTTCGCTTTCTCATTTGTTTTAACTTCCGAGTTTATAATTTTAGATTAATTTAAACTTTATTGTTTATATCAGTACATATTTATTAAATGTAATAAATTAGTTTTTATAACCGTAATATTACTTCTGCTCTTATTAGCCTTTTATATGTGTAATACTTTATTTGAATTAAAGAGCATTTAATTAGTATAATTTTTATTATATTTTACAATTACATCAAATGCGAATTGATATTCCTCGTCTTTGTTACTACTTAGATAGTATTTGTGATTTCTTAAAAAGAGACTAAAAAAATAAACTATAAAGACTAAAAAATTTAACTAAATTGTTTTTGAGTGTTCTTCACTATAAACTTTCGACAAATGTGTATAATATAATATGTGCACAGAAAAATTAATCAATTATGCATTGAATAGAAAGAATAAGATAATATGACATCTTTTACATTAAATACCTCAATGGTTAATTTCTTTATGCATTTATATTATGCGATTATGCAAAATACATTTAATGTAATATATACACAGTATATTCGCACTTTTAACATCATACATTTAATATACAGAGTGTCTCTAAAGTCTGATCCAGACTTCCCTTATCTCGGAAATGGCTTATTTAGATATGAAACGTTTCAAACAAAAGTTGTAGAATATTAAGAAGGAACAGATGATGAAAATATATGAATTTAACCTATTGAAGTGGTCATGTGAAGGTCATAGATGTTTTCTTAAATGGAACCCCTCCTTTTTATTACATATTCTTATAAAACTCTTTAATTAAAATAGTTTTGTAAATTTCAAAGTTGACATACCACCGACATTCGCATTACCCGATGAACATTGCAGGAAAATTGTTCGGTCGGAATTGTATATCATAGACTTACACAAGATACATAAATAGGTAGTGTTTAGAAAACGTCTCGACAAGAATTATAAGAATATGCAATGAAAAATTGGGGGTTCCATTTAAGAAATATAACCATAAAAGAAACAGAGATTTTATTCAGTACATATCGAAAACGTATTCCAAAAAAGTGCGATCAAAAAATTTGACAGTGAAAGAAGTAACCAAAAACATTCGCAAAATTAATTATTTAGGAAATACGGATACAAGATTGATAAAAAAGTGCACGACCAGTAAAAGATGAGCCTCGCAACAATAATCGATGCCACTACAAAAACTGCTCCTGTTTTCTTCGGTGTTGGCAAGATCACTATTATCCCAACACTGATTACCGCGCTTGTATACTTCAATTACGATCTCATAAATCCGGAGAATTATCCACGCGTGACAAAGGAATTGAAGAAAAGTTACGATTTTGTCGTAATCGGTGGCGGTTCGGCCGGTAACGTGGTTGTTAATAGGTTGACCGAAAATCCCAAGTGGGACGTTCTGCTGCTTGAAGCTGGGGGCCACGAAACCGAAATAACTGATGTGCCGATACTATCTCTACACTTGCACAAAACTAAACTTGATTGGCAATATCGCCCGCAACCGCAAGAGACGGCTTGCCAAGCTATGGTCGATCATCGATGTTGCTGGACTAGAGGCAAGGTAGGAAATAAAATCATCAATTCAATAAATTCAGATATGAAAAAGGCTAACAGTCAGGCACAGATATTATAAGTGCAACAAAATTATTTTTAAATTATTTTATACTTATTTTGAACGCTTCGATTCTTTCTTTGAATCATCCTCAGTATGTCATTTAGCAGTCTATACTGTAAATACTTAATATAATGAGTGACCTCGAAAAAAATGATCTGATCAAATTATATCAAATTAAATCTAATCAGATCTAATTTTTTATCTGATTTGATATGAGTGGATCTGGTTAGATGTGGAGCATATACGAATAGATCTAAAAAGATCTTGTTGAATTTACATGTTTCTCCTGAAGTATATGACTAATTATGATTAATTAAATCTAAGGATATTTGGTCAGATCTAGTCTGTTTTGGTAATATGCATATTTTATCTATCACGATATCTAACTAGATCAAATCATATTTGCTCATATCTAACTTTGCATATGTATTCATGTAAGGTCAGATATGAGCAGTTATGATTATATCAAATTTGATCTATTCAGATATGATAATATACATAGAGAAGCCTTCACTTGCGCACAGTACAATTGTCCACGGTGATATTGAACACAAGATTGCGCACATTTCTTTTGTGCACACTCCTTCCACGCCTACACATGCACACACACGCACACACACCTACACACAAGGGAGGTGCAAAAGGGGAAGGGGCCGAATGCCCCCCTTCTTTCCCCTTTTCGCACCCACCCCACCGGGTAGCATGCGTGGAAGGAGTGTGCGCAAAAGAACTGTGCACAAAAGAACTGTGCGTAATCTTATGTGTCCAATAGCACTATACGCAATTGCAACGTGGGCGATTGTACTGTGCGCAACTGAGCCTCTCCCATATACATATATGTGTATCTTCATATCTGACTAAATCAAATTAGATATAATTATATAATTTTTTTATTTGCCGCTATGCGCCGCATGGCTCTATATCTTTCTCGTATTTGAATTTTAGTCAAAATATATAAAATTGAGGAAACTGGCTCTACTAAGATTAATAGTTGTGTAAAAAGTGCGGGAAGTTGACAATTGGACACGAGTGCGGAATGGACGCACGCCTTCGGCTCGTACGTCCACTCCGCACTCGTGTCCAATTGTCAACTTCCCGCACTTGTTACACACAATATTTTATATTACAAGTGGTGCGTCTAAAGTTTAAAAAAGGACTTGCGGGGTGATATGATTGGGGGATAAGGAGAGTGTCGGAAATGAGCTGTGTGGGAATGAATGAAACTGTGCGGAAATGAATAAAACTGTGCGAGAATGAAATATTACCACACTGTTTCGAGTGGAAAATTTCTCGTGTGTGGAATTAGTTATTTCTCGCACAGAAGATATGCGCGTAATGGGCGACTTTCCGTGCACGTGTAATATAAAAGTATTATGTACTTGTTTATATTAGTTTTTTAACTCGATTCCAATATAGGGAATTAATTATTTAATTACATTAAATTACTTTAACAAACTTTCGGTGCTGTATGGAAGATATTTTATGGAAGATATGATCATTCGCGGTTTTTATATCTATCCAGATCTACGACATAGATTTACATAGATCTGATTAGGTAAACCCAAAATGCAGATTTGATCATATCTTATAATTGAGATCTAATTTGATCAAAGCATATATATATGATTTTTTTTCCTGGGACTTTATTTGAGCACAGTACAATTGAACACATTACAAATGGACACGTTACAAATAGGCACGACATTTTGCACACGATTCAATTGGACATCGTGCTTTTGCACACTGTTCTTTTACACATAATTCAATTACACACCATTAAATTACACACAAAGAACAGTATCCAATTGAACCGTGTGCAAAGTATCGTGTCTATTTACAACGAGTATTAAATAATTAATTTACATACTTCATAAAATTAGAAACATTACGCGCCAAAAAGAACCACCGCATCGAAAAATCTTCAATTAAAGTTTTTGTTTTGCAATTATATTCTATTTTTATTTGCTATTTCCAGCCAGAAATGAATAATCAAATTAACGTCGAATTGATGTCGATTCGACATCGATTTATCTAATCAACATTGATTCAACGATGAATCGACGTCAATTCGTCGTCGAATAGATATCATTTCTGGCTGGGATTAAGTTGTTCTATTTTGCAGAATCTTCATAGTCAATTAATTAACATTTTAGGTGCTTGGTGGGTCTAGTGTTTTAAATACGATGTTATACATTCGCGGCAATCATCGCGATTTTGATCAATGGCGCGATTTCGGGAATCCTGGTTGGGGTTATGAAGATGTTCTCCCATATTTCAAAAAATCGCAGGATCAAAGAAATCCATATTTGGCACGCAATACAAGGTATCATAGTACAGGTTTGTATTGATATTTCAATTATTATCTACTATGTATGCGAAATGTTGAGTTTGTATGAAATGTAATAAATATTATCTTAATTAATAACTACAAATAAGAAAGACTTAAGAGCCATACACGGATGTTCCTTACATACATTTCCAACGAAAATTAATTTTTAAACAAAATGTGCATACAGGCACATATTATTCTTAGTGTACTACCAAGACTTTATAACGTAAAATATCTCATACTTGATATTTAATTTCATAAACCCCTATACCCCCCTAAAGAAATAAAGAAATAAATGCGAGAGAAAAATATAGATCCGAAAGTCGCTGAATCGGGAATCGAACCCAAGATCTTTCGCTTGCCGGGCGACTGCTCTTCCAACTGAGCTATTCAGACTCTTCGATTCTATAGCTTTTTTCTTTGCTTGTAAATACTCTGAATAATGCCTTTTTCGCCGGCATGTGTGTAAACACTAAAAAGTATATCAAAGGCTCTGTAATATTAAACAATAACTATAAATAAGAAAGGCCTATGATCCATACGCGGATGTTCCTTATGTACATTTTCAACAAAAATTAATTTTTCGTTGGAAATAAATGAAATGTGCACATAGGCACATATTATTCTTGATGTACTACCAAGACTCTCGGGTTCGATTCCCGATTCAGCAATTTTCAGATCTATATTTTTCTCTCGCGTTTATTTCTTTATTTCTTTAAAGAGGTATAAGAATTTATGAAATTAAATCTCAAGTGAGATATTTTACGTTATAAAGTCTTGGTAGTACACTAACAATAAGAATAATATGTGCACATTTTGTTTATTTCCAACGAAAAAGTAATTTTCGTTGGAAATGTATATACGCAAGGAACATCCGCATATGATTCTTAGACCTTTCTTAATTGTAGTTATTATTTAATATTACAGAGCCTTGATATACTTCTTACAAGAGAACGGTCGGAAGTGTCCCTCACCGATTTTAATGAATCTTGAATATGTTGTGGAGCATTAAAAAATATGAGTCTCGTAATTTTTTTTAGCGGCGTATCTCGACATTTAGAGGGTAAACCACCCTCTTGAAAAAATCGTTTTTTTTATTTCTAATATTAAAAAATGTTTCAAGTAAAAGTTTTATGGTTTTTAATGCTCTTTAAAACAGCGCAAAAGAATTTTTCAAAAATTTCAAATTTTTTGAAATTCCACTCTTTCCATAATTTTTAAAAATTTTTAATTTTTTTATAAAAATTCTGAAAGCTTATTTAATTTCAAATCCAACCATATATAAAAAAGTTGTATTCCGACAACGCATTTTTGAGAAATAAGCTACAGTAAAACCTCGTTTATCCGAGGTAATGTGGGGAAGGGGTACCTCGGATAAGCGAAAACTCGGATAACACGGAATAAATAAAAAAAACTCGAAAGCTTCCCTTATTTTTGGTATATTTAAAATGGTAACAAGAGAATTTAACCACATTAACATATGAAAATGAAAAATTAACGAACGTGGATTAATTTTTCGCGTAACAAGCATTACACTTACATATTACAAACGTGGTTTAAAAAAGTCAGTGATAGAGCACTGCTTCAACCTGCTCATTCGTTTTTTAGCTGCAATATCTCGTCATCGTTTCATCAATAAGAGATCACTTGCAGTATTTTCCGGCTGTTCCTCGATATATTTGAGAGCTAGTTCAAGCGCATTTAATCCTTCTTCGTGGCTGATTACCGGACTTTCTTCCGCCTCGCCGTCTTCTATATCATCCGCGATCTCTTCTCCAGAATTTACGAGTTGGCCAATTTCGTCGTCTGTAAGTTCTTCTTCACAATCATCACCATGAACCCATTCCTCAGTATCGTTTCTTTCGATGTTTTCACAACCAAGAATCTGCTCCATAATGCTATGCAGATCTACATCGTCTGCTATTTCATCGCTTTGATTGTTAGAACACAAGATTTTTGCCCATGATCTTTCAAGCGTAAGCCTTTGGACAACATCCCAAGCTTGAACTGACCAGTAAATAACACTTTTCATATTTATTGCTAGCAAACACTCTTTAAGGGTACTACCCGCGGCGCTTTTTTCCAGAATTTCTTGCAGCAAAAAACGTCGATAATGACGTTTGAAAGTCTCGAGTACGCCTTGATTCATTGGTTGTCCAATGGAGATCACATTCGGTGGAAAAAATTTTACAATTATATTTTCACTTCTGAGAACCGACTCGTTCGGGTGTGATGGAGCGTTGTCGAGTAACAAAATAGCTTTTCTTGGAAGACCATTTTTGTTTAAAAATCTCTCAACCGAAGGGACGAATTGTTCGGAAAACCATTTTTGGAAAAGATCGCGACTCATCCAAGCACTCTTTTGATGCACGTAGTAAACTGGCAAGGCTTCCGGTTTGATGTGTTTAATTGCTCTCGGTTTAGCCGATTTCCCGATACACATCAACGGAAGTTTGTGTGTACTGGACGCGTTACTGCATGCTAAAATGCTGACCCTTTCTTTGTTCTTTTTGTACCCCGGAGCAACTGCTTCTTCTCGCGAGGCCAATGTTTTAGAAGGCATCATTCGAAAATTCAGACCAGTCTCGTCGCAGTTATAAATTTGATCCCGCAAGTATCCCTCTTCTTGTACAAGCTTATTAAATTCTTCTTTAAATTCATTCAATCCGCCTTCATCAGCTGACATTTTTTCGCCACAGATGCTTAACTGACGAATAGCGTGTCTTTTCTTCCATCTGTTGAGCCATCCGCAACTTGCCGTAAAAGTTTCGCTTTCATCGGGAAACTGCTTTGCAAGCATCATGGCCTTTGCCTGTAAAATGGAGCCTGAAGGGGGAAAAACGATATTGTATCGATGACGAATCTTCAAACTCCGGAGTGTGCTTACCTGATACTGGCAGTCCCTTTTCTCTCATTTGAGTGAACCATAAAATAAAGCTTTATCAACTTTATCATACTCTACCGGTTTCATCGTTTTACGACTAGTCATCGCACCGCCCGATTTTATTGCGAATTGCTCTAAATTAGATCGATTTCGACCAATCGCCAACGGTGGTCTCTCCAACACCATAATCAGCCGCGACATTGTGAATGATTTCTCCTCTATCCAATTTTCTAATTGCTTCCAACTTTTTCTCTACACTCACGACGACTTTTTTTCGCTTCTGCGACATATGTATGTATGTACACGATGTTTTTTCATTGACTGTTGAAGCCCAACTGTTAAATTCTACCTCACAACCGCGGAGAACAAAGCGTGTACTACTAACAAGCTCGTGCGTGTTTAAACAAAGAAGTAGCAATCGCAAACTATGTATGTTGTACTTCGCGCGCATCGCATAGCAGCGAAGCGTCATCCGTTTCATCTGAATTTTTTCGTATTATCCGAGCACACAGCTCGGTTAACGCGGAGTGTTCGAATAAGTCCGGTGGCTCGGATAACGCGAAGACTCGGTTGATCGAAAACCGGATAAACGAGGTTTTACTGTAGAAAAACCACTATACACGCTCCATTTGTATCTACTAGACGCTCGCTACTCGTGATGACCGTCTTTTCTTTGTAATCTCATAGAAAGAATGAAATATCGATACAAAATTTATATATATTGTGTTTAATAATTAAATTTATAACAATTTATATATTTATAAATATAAAAATTAATACAAAGTAATTTAAATTTATATATTAAAATCTTTTATATATTATAATATTATAGAACAATTGTGTGGCAATAAATAATTTACATATATGTAAATTAAGAATAAGAAATAATATTTCAAGTAAAATGAAAGTAGAGCCAGTCGAGGAAAATCAACAAGAAAAGTCTCTCAAAAATGATGATCGTGAAAGAAATGTTTTATACGAGGGCAGTCCGATAAGTACTTAGCCTCATCGCCCGATGGTGCCAGTATCGCAAGAGAATTTTACTATCGTGTAGTACATTCTCGTAGACGGCTACTGTCAAAATTTCAGCCGAATTGGACTCGTAGTTTTGTTTTGACCGCGTGTGAAAGCGGGTGTGTCCGCGGATTTTAGAAAAATGGAAAAAGAGCAATATCGGTCGGTGATTCAATTCTTGTTTTTGGAAGGGAAATCGCAGCAAAATCAAAGATGTCGAAATGAAGAATCTTTGATTTTGCTGCGCGATTTCCCTTCCAAAAACAAGAATCGAATCACCGACCGATATTGCTCTTTTTCCATTTTTCTAAAATCCGCGGACACACCCGCTTCCACACGCGGTCAAAACAAAACTACGAGTCCGATTCGGCTGAAATTTTGACAGTAGCCGTCTACGAGAATGTACTACACGATAGTAAAACTCTCTTGCGATACTGGCACCATCGGGCGATGAGGCTAAGTACTTATCGGACTGCCCTCGTTTAAAACATTTCTTTCACGATCATCATTTTTGAGAGACTTTTCTTGTTGATTTTCCTCGACTGGCTCTACTTTCATTTTACTTGAAATATTATTTCTTATTCTTAATTTACATATATGTAAATTATTTATTGCCACACAATTGTTCTATAATATTATAATATATAAAAGATTTTAATATATAAATTTAAATTACTTTGTATTAATTTTTATATTTATAAATATATAAATTGTTATAAATTTAATTATTAAATACAATATATATAAATTTTGTATCGATATTTCATTCTTTCTATGAGATTACAAAGGAAAGACGGTCATCACGAGTAGCGAGCGTCTGGCAGATACGAATGGCGTGTATAGTTGTATTTCTAGCTTATTTCTCAAAAATGCGTTGTCGGAATACAACTTTCTTATATATCTCTTTTCTTATATATTGGATTTGAAATTAAATAAGCTTTCAAATTTTTTATTTAAAAAAATTAAAAATTTTTTAAAATTATAGAATGGGAAAGAAATTTCGAAAAAGAAATTTTTGAAAAATTCTTTTGCACTATTTTAAAAAGAATTAAAAACCATAAAACTTTTACTTGAAACATTTTTTTAATATCTTTTACCGTTTTGACGGTATTAGCTCAGAAATTAAAAAAACGATTTTTTCAAGGGAGTGGTTTACCTCCTAAATGTCGAGGTACGCCGCTAAAAAAAATACGGGTCTCATATTTTTTAATGCTCTACAACATATTCAAGATTCATTAAAATCGGTGAGGGACAATTCCGACCGTTCCCTTGTTAGTGTAAATATTATCTTGTTATTTTATTTCTAGGAGGATATCTAACCGTACAGGAGAGTCCTTATACTAGTCCATTGGGTGTGGCGTTTCTGCAAGCTGGTGAAGAAATGGGTTATGATATTAAAGACATCAATGGTAAACAACAAACAGGTTTTTCGTTGCTCCAGTTTACAATGCGTCGGAACTCCAGGTGTAGCACTGCCAAAGCATTCATACGACCCATTCAGCTAAGAAAGAATTTCCATCTCTCTTTGTGGAGCCACGTAATTCGAGTACTAATAGATCCGCAAAGCAAAAAAGCATATGGAGTAGAATTCATTAGAGACGGTCGTAAGGAGGTGGTATTTGCAAAGAAGGAAGTGATTCTTTCCGCTGGCGCTATCGGTAGTCCACATTTATTAATGCTTTCGGGTGTAGGACCACGTATTCATCTGGAGCAACTGGAAATTCCCATAATTCAAAACTTGCCTGGAGTCGGACAGAATCTGCAAGACCACATCGCAATAGGTGGGCTCGTTTTTCCGATTGACTATGAGGTCGGCATTGTAATGAATCGAATGGTAACCGCCAACTCGGCATTGAAATACGCCATCACTAAAGATGGCCCATTGACGTCCAGTATCGGTCTCGAAGCGGTCGGCTTTATTTCTACCAAATATGCCAATCAGACTGACGACTGGCCCGATATCCAGTTCATGATAACATCTTCGGGGATTAGCTCCGCTGGTAGTCATGCAAAAGATGCTCATGGTTTAACTGACGAATTTTACAATGAAGTGTTTGGTAAAGTCAACAATCGTGATGTCTTTGGTGTATTTCCAATGATCCTCAGGCCTAAGTCGCGTGGCTACATGAGACTGAAATCCAAAAATCCCTTGGATTATCCTCTACTCTATCATAATTATCTCACGCACCCTGAAGATGTGACTGTACTTCGCGAAGGTGTCAAAGCGGCAATTGCCTTCGGCGAAACGCGCACTATGAAGAAATTTGGTTCCAGATTTCATAGCAAACCAATACCTCATTGCAAGAACATTCCACTTTACACTGATGAATACTGGACGTGTATTCTAAAGGTGTACACTTTATCTATATATCATATGAGCTGTAGTGCTAAGATGGGCCCGGCCAGTGATCCTATGGCGGTCGTAGATCCGGAACTCAAAGTTTATGGAATCGAGGGTCTACGGGTTATCGACGCATCAATTATGCCAACTATTACCAGCGGCAACATAAATGCTCCCGTAATCATGATAGGCGAAAAAGGTGCCGATTTAATAAAGGCAACGTGGATAGGAATGTCCTATTCTAAAGGAAACAATATCACTGTCACTGCTTCTTATTGATATATAATATATACCCATACAGCACCGAAAGATTGCAGAAACAATGCATAGATCTAACATTGAAACATTGTAATATTGCATGAGAGTTGCGAATTGTTTCTACAATGTTACTGTAAGATTGCGGCAACGGCTGGATGACCGCTTTTGTAATATTGCAATGAAATATTATAGCAACATTGCAATGTAATGTATTTGAAAAAATGCAACGTTGCTGCAAATATATAGTAATATTACTTTTTTTATTTAACTGGCAAAAATTTCGTCTTTTAAAAATATATTTAGATATAAATTGTGATATGCAAACATTGATTGGAGTTAATTATATCTTTATTAAAAATTTTTACCAAATCCATTTAATTATATATTATAAATATTTCTTTATTCGCTGAGTTTATATTTCTTTACTTATTGTATATCTAATACATATACATCTTTTTAACATTTTATTAGTCATACGTTAGTGTATATGTATATTTTATTCTTTTATACTAAAATATTTCTGAAGATATTAATCTATATGTTAATCTATGAGTAATGTTATTATCTTTATAATAATCATTGTTTATTATGTTAGAACTTGACAAAGCGTACAAGACTTATTATATATATACACACTCACACACACACACACACACACACACATATATATATATATATATATATATATATATATATTAATATATATGAACAGTTAATTTATTGACCAAAACTGGCTTATTTTATTACGTGCAAAAAAATTACAACGTTTCGATTACTGCTTGTGATCCTTTTGAAGTAAACTGAAAAATACATTGTTAAATTAAATTAAAGGAATACACACAAAATTTAATTATAAAATCATAAATTCTAACTCACATAAACAGGCGAATTGATGGTAATCGCTCACGTCTCACATTATTCTGTGGAGCGTCTATATTCAAACGGTGTTCAGTTTATAATGACATAGCGATCATAAAAAGGCAAAAAGACAAAAAGACAAAAAGTCAAGCGAATAAACAAACGCAAAAACAACAACCTAAAGTAAAAACAAGTTATCATATACAGAATTTAAGCTCTCTGTGTCTTTTTGTAAATTAATCGTATTTTTCGTTTTCTTAATATAAAACATTTCCGCCACCTCTCTCTTACGCAATTGTTTTTCCTTATGCAAAATAACAGGATTCTTCCAGTCAAAATCATGGTATTCCGTAAGACGATGATCTGTAATAACAGAATAGTTATCTTGAGAGCTATTCATATTTCGTTCGTGCTCCCTTATTCTAACATGTAAATGGCGTTTCGTTTGTCCGATATAAGACGCATCCCAATCTCTACAATTAATTTAATAAACCAGTTCTGTGTGTTTATCGTAATTTAGCTTATCTTTTCCAGTTTCGATAATGCAATTAAGTTTTTTCGGTATATTGAAGAATACCTGGAGACGCAATTTTTTCAAAATAAGACGTATGTTGTCACTAACTTTATTAACAAATGGAATCAGAACAAAATCACCATCCTTGTATCTTTGCTGTACTTCCCTAGTTCTACCTATGTTACCATAGGTGATTCCTTTCAACCGTTTATTAATGTGATATTTAATTAAGTCAGGAGGGTAACAATTATTCAATAAAATCTCTTCAACAATCTTAAGGTTAGAATCATGAAATCGTTGGTTAGATAGCAACAAAGCCTGATCAATTAAATTAATGATTTAAGAATTTAACAAGGCTCTGTAATATAAATATAAATATAAATTGAGAGTGTCAAACAGGCAATAAGAGCCAAATCGCAAATGACAGTGCGTTATCCCAACGAAACTAAATTTTTTTGTTAGAATTTAAAAACCTGTGCACAAGGCACTAAATTTTACTTGGTCACGGCCAAGATTTAAAATTGGAATAATCTCTACAAGAGATTTAATTCCATACCCTGTTCCTCCCTTAAGGAAATAAATGCGTTGGGATAACGCACTGTCATCTGCGATTTGGCTCTTATTGCCTGTTTGACACTCTCAATTTATATTTATATTTAAATTAATGATATTATTAATTTTATATTTGAGCGGGTGGTTAGAAAAGAAATTAATGTATCGTCCTGAAAAAGTTGGTTTGCGATACCAATTCGTCAGTAAGATGCCATTCTCTCTAATGACCGTTGTATTCAGGAAATTTAACATGTTGCTTTCTTCCATCTCGTATGTAAAAACAAAACGAGGATGATAACTATTGAACATAATTAACATCTCATTGATCTTATCTTTGGGAAGAACAGCAAAAATGTCATCAACATATCTATAGAAATGGGGAACCTCAAAATCTAACTCAGCCAAACAAGTTTTTCAATTTACTTGAAAAGAATCACAAGCAGTGATCGAAACGTTGTAATTTTTGTTTGCACATAATAAAATAAGTCAGTTTTGGTCAATAAATTAACTGTTCATATTTATATACATATATATATATATATATTATTCTCAAGATTATTAATATATCACTATTATACAATCTTAAAATAAGTACGTTTAATTAAGAAAGTAATAATTGTATTTACCTGCTATGATGTCTTCCAAAATCGTTTTATTTGGATACTCTCTTAGGGTGCCGTCACATGAGGCGTAACTTACGTACGCGTAATCGAGATAATTTACGCCGACCAATTAAATCGTCTCATTTCAGTATTAGCTTCTATCTAGTTATTTTATGCTTTGTACGCTATTATCGTTGCGCCAAATGCAATTTCTGGCGGAAGAAACGCTAATGCGTATTTGTAAAAGAAAACTACATAACTCCATTTGTGCGTTCTTTTGAAACATATGAAGAAGAAGAAGAAGTCAATTTTAATCCATCTATACCTATACATTTCTAATAAGATGAACAAGAATAATCAAATAAGTTAACAAAAATCTAATTTATTATATAAAGATTAATAGCGTTCAATTATACTAAACAATCTACTGCTCACGACATGTGATACAAAATTTCAAGGTTAAATTGTATATTAGTAAGTCTTCGTACTTTTTGCATTTGAAATGTTTTTTCTTTCTCTAATATTAGGAGACGCGGTAGTGTCTCCGGCCATGTTCAAACCCTAAAAGACCTTAAAAGACACTACAAGTCTCCTTATCCTGCACCATCAAAGTCCATTTTTTGGGGGTGTAGAACTACTAAAATATAAAAAATGTTGAATTGCACGTAATATAACCTGAAAGGCGGCATCGCCACGAGTAATTTGAGCCAAGAAAAAATAAAATCGGTCAAGCCGTTCTGGAGATACAAGCGGTCAAAAAGTGACGTTTTTCATGAAAAATGAAGTAACGTCGTCTTTCTTCTTCTTCTTCTTCTTCTCTGTCCGCTGACGTCATCAGGATTATATATATATATAAATCTCTTCTCACCTTTCACTCACACCTCCCTTAACTTCCACCCACCCCTTTCCCTCCCACATCAAGCCCCCCGCCCCCACCCCCACCAACTCCCACCCCTCTTTCGCCTCTTTCACCCTCTTTCGTCTTCTCTCACCCTCTTTCGTCTCTCTCACCCTCTTTCACCCTCTTTCGTCCTCTTTCACCCTCTTTTCCTCTTTCACCCTCTTTCGCCCTCTTTCATCCTCTTTCGTCCTCTTTCACCCTCTTTCGCCCTCTTTCACCATCTTTCGCCTCTTTCACCCTCTTTCATTCCCTCTCACCCTCTTTCACCCTCTTTCATTCCCTCCACCCCTTTCGTCCTCTTTCACTCTCTTTCGTCCTCTTTCACCCTCTTTTGTTCTCTTTCACCCTCTTTCGTCCTCTCACCCTCTTTCGTCCTCTTTCACCCTCTTTTGTCCTACCTCACCCTCTTTCGTCCTCTTTCGTCCTCTTTCGCCCTCTTTCACCCAATTTCGTCCTCTTTCACCCTCTTTCGCCTATCTCGTCTTCTCTTACCCTCATTCGTCCTCTCTCACCCTATCTCCAAAAAATCATAAAAATGAAAAGGTCAAGCCATGTTCAAAAGAAGGTCCTCAAAAATTTAAACCTTTAAAAATTTAAACGATCTAATAATAAATTATCACGAAAAGTAACTGATATGTTATTCAAGGTGCCAGTTCAAAGTGAACATACGTAAAGTGTATATTATCTAAATTTAGTAATAATATATTACCATGAAAAGTAACTGATATTTTATTTAAGGTGCAAGTTCACATTGAACATACATACATATAAGTAAAACTGATTACAATTTGATTCTAGAAAATAAGTGCGATATGTTATTCTTAGTGCACAAAATATAATAGTCGTTTATAGAGATTTGATTTGAAATTCATACTAGCCCGTACAATGAAAAATAATTGCTCGTTGTGGCTTATCCAAACATACTTCGTCTTCCGAAGCGTACTTTTATGAAACTGCTTACGAGCAAAGGAAAAAGTTTGAGCAACCACTTATAATGAGACAATCCTCTCCTCACGGAGTAATAAATGTTTTGCCGTTAATAGATAACAATGGTAAAAAGTTAAAAATGTGGCATTGTGATGAGAACAAATGCCACATAAATGATACTTCCATGGAAAAGTTTGTAAAATTTTTGGAACTGTTTGAAGAAGGTACTTTGAAAAAGATAATGAATGTTAAATTCATAGCGCAGCTAAAAAATTGTTCCGTTTCACGTACGAGTAGCAGATTAGGACATCCTCCGGAATGCTATACAAATCCGAATCTTTGCAAGTCATACATTGCAACGATAAACATTTTATCACCTCATTTTCCTTTCGTGAGGAATATTCGAAGAAATGTTTACAAATTGATCGACAATTATAATAAGTTTTGTCAACTGTTTTCATCTTTGAGATTCATCAATATGGATAAATTAGTTGAAATTTCCAATGATTTTAAGAATAAAGCAAGATTTTATCCAAAAAATGTAACTGATGTTTGTTTGGACGAGGAAAAAATTTTCTCGCAAAATTACGAAGCATTTAAAGTCATGAAAAAGCGATTGTTGGATTTACCACGTATCCCTTGCATCTCTTGCGAAAAATTATGCTTGAGAAGAG